GCCTGCGGTGCCGCCGATCTCCATTCCCCTCGCCGCTCCACCCCGCAGACCTCCTCCGATGGGAGGGCGGTAGCCGCCATGGCATGGCCGGCCGCCCCCTTTGCCGCCTTTCGACGTAGGGACCGCAAGCCCCCGTGGATGTGGTGCGCGACCAGCAGGGACGACATCTCCGCGTCGTCTTGAGCCAGGACGTTGACGTCCAGCTCATCAGCGAGTAGCAGCAGCTTCTCAGCCACCATGGCATCCACTCCTTCCTCGTCCATCCTTGGAAAAGCAGCCTTCGCCAGGGCCAGGAGAGCCGTCCGGAAGGCCAGGGGCGATTCGTTGGCGCCCCGACGCCGATCGTGGAACAGCTGCCTGCAGTCCGAAGGCGGCCCATAGACGGCTGACAGCAGCTGCAACGCCAGGTGTAGAGTGGCGCGCTTTTCCCTAGGCGCCGAGGTGAGGGTAGCCAGGGCGTCGTTGTCCAGCATCGCTGGCAGCGCGCGTAGAGCCTCGGCGTCCGACCAGTTCGCCATCTCTTGATGAGCGATGAACCGCCTCTTGAAACCACCCCAGTCTCCGTCTGCGCCTACGAATTCTTTAAGAGGCGGCAGACGCTGTTGTAAGGCGGCGTCCGTGGCTGCAGAACGCTCTCCGTCGCTCCCCGCCGATGATACAGTGTGGGCGGGCTGTGAGCATGGCATCGCCGGTCGCTCTGATGTTGACGCGCCGGCCGGTGTTGATGATGTCACGGCTTGTGCTTGGCGCTCAGCAGACACGTGACGCGGCCCGGCCCCGCCCTCCGCTCGCACTGTAGCGATGGCGGGAAATTTGACCGCGAGCCGCGTCGGGGTGGCGGGAAACGTTGCCCCGCGTCGGCTGCCGTCGTCGACCCGCGCTGCTCCTCCAGCCCCCAGCCGCGTGATCTCCTCCAACGCGGCGGCCGCGGCGTAGAGCAGTTCCGCCAGGCGGGAGTGGGCCAGCCGGAGTCCTTCGGCCGACGCATCCCCCCCCTCTTGTCGTGGCGGCGCGGGCGTACTCGGCCCCGGCAGCTCCGATCCGACCCCGGCCATCTCTGGTGGTGATTCGGCCGCGGCGTCTTCCATCTCCGACTCCCTGGTACGTGTCGTCCCTCGTGTGTCCATCGTTGGACGTTTTACTTCTGACACCAGATGTAGTAAGTATATGGAGGCTTGACGACAGGATCGGAGGCACACTTATTTATTACACCAACACAGTTATTACAGGTCACTTGGCTACAGGGATTTCTCGACAGCTAACCCCTCTAACCTATACCAATTCCTCCACTACGGGACTAGGGGAGGCTATCTGTCCCAGCTTGGTTAAGCTGGGATCCCGGCTCCCTGAGTCACCAGACCAGCTTCGTCTGGGCTCTCGGGGCCACGCCACCGGCTTGCCCTGGTCGGCCCTTATAAGGACAGCGAGCCAGGGGAGCTCTGGGGCCTACACTAGCTGGTCTTCCGTCTTCTCTGGTTAAAGCTGAGTCCCGACCTCGAGCCCTCGAGCTCATCACCTTTTATAGGACTCGCCCCCGAGGGGGGGCCCGTGGGGGATACACATGCGGACGTCGGTGCGAGCGCCACCCTTGTGTACGGCCATAACCCCGCCCCTTGTGTTTGTTGGCCATCCGTGGCCATGCATAATCACACCTCAACATTCGTAGCCATGCGCAATTACACCTCTACATCAGTGTACACACACTACTATTAGTTAGTATTAGTGTACACATACTAATATTTTGTTAGTATTAGTGTACACAAACTAATATTAGTTAGTATTAGTGTACACTTACTCATATTAATTAGTATTAGTGTACACACTAATATTAGTTAGTATTAGTGTACACATACTAATATTAGTTAGTGTACACATACTAATATTAGTTAGTGTACACACACTAATTTAAGTTATAATTAGTGTACACACATTAATATTCGTTAGTATGAGTGTACACAGACTAATATTAGTTAGTATTAGTGTACACTTACTCATATTAATTAGTATTAGTGTACACACTAATATTAGTTAGTATTAGTGTACACATACTAATATTAGTTAGTGTACACATACTAATATTAGTTAGTGTACACACACTAATTTAAGTTATAATTAGTGTACACACATTAATATTCGTTAGTATGAGTGTACACAGACTAATATTAGTTAGTATTAGTGTACATATACTAATATTAGTTAGTATTAGTGTACATATACTAAAATTATTTAGTATTAGTGTACATACACTAATATTCGTTAGTATTAGTGTAAACAACCTAATTTTTGTTAGTATTAGTGTACACAAACTAATATTCATTAGTATTATTGTACACAAACTAATATTAGTTAGTATTAGTGTACACATACTAATATTAGTTAGTATTAGTGTACACATACTAATATTAGTTAGTATTAGTGTACACATACTAATATTAGTTAGTATTAGTGTACACATACTAATATTAGATAGTATTAGTGTACACATACTAATATCGTTAGTATTAGTGTACACATACTAATATTAGTTAGTATTAGTGTACACATATTAATATTAGTTAGCATAAATGTACACATACTGCTAATCACTTGTGAATAATAATTAGTGAATTATAATTAATAATAACAAAAGTGCTACACTAACATGAGCATGGGTGTGTGTGCAATGTTCGTGAACAGTGGTGATGCCAGCCCCACGATGTTGACGCCACTCTCAAAGCGTCTCTCTCCAAACACGACGCCTGTACCACAGCCTCGCATACTCTCACATCCACACACAGACATTGTGTGTCACAGCTTCGCACACTCTTACATCCACACACAGACATTGTGTCACAGCCTCGCACACTCTCACATCCACACGCAGACATTGTGTGTCACAGCCTCGCACACTCTCACATCCACGCACACACATTGTGTGTAACAGCCTCGCACACTCTCACATCCACACACAGACATTGTGTGTCACAGCCTCGCACACTCTCACACCCATGCACATAAATTGTGTGTTACAGCCTCGCACACTCACACATCCACACACAGACATTGTGTGTCACAGACTCGCACACTCTCACATCCACGCACACACATTGTGTGTAACAGCCTCGCACACTCTCACATCCACACACAGACATTGTGTGTCACAGCCTCGCACACTCTCACATCCACACACAGACATTGTGTGTCACAGCCTCGCACACTCACACACACACAGACATTGTGTGTCACTCCGCTGCTTGGTGTGCGCCTCCCCACGCCGTGCGCGTCCTGGCGGTGGGAGGTTATTTGACCATACTTCACACGCTCTCGTCGGTGCTCGTTGGCGATGGTGGGGATCGTGAAGGTGGAAGCGTAGAGGTACAGTACAATAATAGTTCACGCTGCACTGCCCTCTGCTGCCCACCCCGTCACAACAGTTTAAAGTTTGTATTTAATTAAATAATATCGATTCCCAAAGCTCTGCCGGGTCCTCCATTTTTCCCTCCAGCAGCGACTGTTTGTCTGCTTCTATAAATGTCCACACTGTGACGATATCAGCCACTTGGTTGAGCTGTCATTTCTAGTTGGCAGGTCGCTTCTGAACAAGATCTAGACAGCTTAATGGGGCCTTACTTGGTAAAATATAATAAGTTCAGTATATGGGTCTCTATGTATCTCTATGTGTCCCTATGTATCTCTATGAGTATGTATGTCTATGTTTCTACATGGATGTTTATGGGTGTTTGGGTATCTCTATGGGTGTTTATGTATCTTTATGTGTCCCTGTTGTATCTCAAGGTGTCCCTTGGTATCGTTATGTTTTCTACGTGTAACTATGAGTCTAGTATCTATATGGGTCTCTCTGTATCTATATGGGTCTCTATGTATATTTGGCTGCTGATATAAATGTCCACGGGATGACGTTGATGTCAGCCATTTGGTTGAGCTATAATTTGTGACAGCCAGCTCGCTTGTGAACACGAGCTACCTTAGCTCAGTGGGTACCTGCACCTGGTCAAATAAAAATACGTTCAATAGGTAGGTCATAGAGCCCTGCAGCCTATCGCACCTGGTATGCACGGTGGTCACCCATCCCAGCACTAGCCAAGCTCATCGCTGCTTAGCCAGGAATCGACCCCACGTTGTGCAGCGTGTTAGCCGCTGTCCCACCGCTCCCCTGGTGTGTATACTAACTGTTAAACATATAAACTAGTGAGTGGGTGAGAGAGTGAGTGGGTGAGCGAGTGGGTGAGTGAGTGTGAGGAGTGGTAACGTAGCGGTATGCACACTGCACTGCTTAGAAGCGACCTGGCCACACATACTGATTGCTCATCGAAGTGCCTTTTCACGTGGAAATGTATAGCAGCCAAATACCCTGAAGGCAGATTTCTAAATGTGGAGGGAAAAAAAACGGAGGACCCGGAGAAAAATTAAAATCTTGCACTAAAACTTTGAAACCCCGTCAATCATTTACATTCCGTTGTACTTTTTTAAGTCCTGGTTGTGAAGGTTACCATCGCGATTAGGAAACAGCTGCAGTCTCCATCCTGCACTTCGTTTTATGTGCACATTTTAATCCCAATTTGCCCCAAGTGAGCACCCTAAGTAGAATAAGTTACTTATCATTTGGCTCACGTTCATCTTAATTATCACCTAGCAGCCACTTTCCTCAACCAACCGTGAACCCACTGCACCCACGCATTATGGTCAGCGTCTAAATGAGCGTGACGGGACTGGAACGTGCTTCGTCCGTAGCTTACAAAGTCGCCCTTTTGCTCTCAAGAAACGCGCTGTCACGTTGCTATTGTTACTTGCAACTCTTGATGAGTGAGACCCTTCGAGTTGTTAGCGATATTTCAACCAGCACCTTGGTGCCCGTTTCATGACCTGAATGTACGCAGGTCTCCCTTGCCAATGGTTCACGCTGCATTAATGCACTCCAGCCCTCCAAATGGGTAGGATTTGTCGGCAATCCGGAGTCTGTAATGGAGTCTAACGAAGATCGTCGTGGCAGAGCGACATACCGAGAAAAGGCAGAAGTTTGGTTTGGACGCCGCCCACTGAGATTACCTTTGCGAGGTTCAGACCGTGGGAGACGGGGTCTGGGTCATCCTGAGTCTCCTGGGAGACGGAGCTCCTTCTGCACTCACAGCACAGGAACACACAGAGTCTAATGAGGGTCCATGTCTCTCTACACATAGCATGGGACACAGTCTAATGAGGGTGCATGTCTCTTTACACACACAGCATGATACACACATAGTCTAATGAGGGTCCATGTTTCTCTACACACACAGCATGAGACACACAGTCTAATGAGGGCCTATGTCTCTCTACACAACAACCGCCAATCGCCACTAAGTGGCGGTGACGTGCACCTTGAGGCCACGTGAATTGTCGAACGCCCGCTGGCAGGAGGTCACGGGGCAGACCCAGGTGCCACAGGTCGACTGACTGAGATGACTGAGATGACTGGCTGATGCACCACCTGTGCCCCCTACTGTGCCAACTTGCTGTGCTTTACCACCCGGCGCGCCGCTCGTTGTTGTGAACGTCACTCCTCTGCCCTCTGTTGTTGTTGGAGGGCAACTGCCAGCAACTGCCCAGTAGCGTCTTTCACGAGCCTCCTCCACAGAGGCCGATCTTGACACTGCTGGTACCAGTCATCGGCAAGTCCACTCAGCTCCACGTCCTCCTGTACCACATCACTCTATCTCTTCTCTAGCCCATGCCGCGCCCGTTTAGCCCCCTCTATCCGGCCGAACAAAAGCTGTTTAGACAACGCAGCTTTGCCTGTTGGAGGAGCTCACCGATTGGACTTTGCCCAGATCTTTAAAGGATTTGTGAGCTCCTCACACAATCCAGCCTGGTTAAACCCAGGATGGATCCTAGGCAGGCCAGCCTAAATGTTTCTAACCGGCGAAGATGCTCCATTAGGGGGATCCACGTTTCGCAAGTCTAGAGAAGGGAGGGATTGACCGTGGCCGAGAAGACCTGAAGCTTCGTGCAGAGCGACAGACCAGGTAGCTTCCACACAGCGTCACGCAACCGATGAAAATACATTGCCGCTCGACTGATTCTGAGACTTTTGCTGTTAAACCAGAACCGGTCATGAGCACACTGTCCAGGTATGGGAAACTCTCCACTCTCTCCACAACTGCCCCATCACTGATTGGGAGTTGTGGGGGTGCAGTGTCCAATGGTACAAAATACCCAGGCAGGTGCTTAGTATTGGTGGGGCTGATGGTAAGGCCCTACCTCTGAGTGGCACGGTCCAGTTTCGGCAGCAGTGTCTCCAACTCCTCCTCTGAATGAGCAGCAATTACCAAATCATCGGCATACATAACGTGGTTGACCACTCACAGCACAGGACACACAGAGTCTAATGAGGTCCCATGTCTCTCTATAAATAGACAAAACAGGCAGCCCTCGACTTGCAAACGCTGGTACTTATAAATCAGCTTCCATGAAATAAAAAAATAACTTTGACTTAAAATACAAACTCGCGGTTGCAAACTGAACCGCAGAACTATTTTGTTCAGAGAAGCGATCCTCTGCCAGATGTAATGAGTCGGCCTCATGCTGTGAGTGTTTGCGTGTGTACGAACATTTGTGTGTGGGTGTGTGAAAGTGTGGTGGGTACAGCTGGTGCATCTACCAGTCATCTCTGTCAGCCAATCCATGGAACCTGGGTCTGTCCCGAGACCTGTCAGTGAGCCTTCCACATTTCACGTGGCCTCAAAGTGCACCTGGTCTGGCCCAGGCGCCATGGTAATGTCACCGTCACTTAGTGGCGAATGGCGGGTATTGGTATTGGTGTGGGGAGCGGTAGCGTCACGTTGAGTGCGCTGTACTACGAAAGCGGCGATCCGAGTTCGAGTTTTTGCTCACGCCAACACTAGTACCTGGTGTGGAGTGTGAACATCGCCACCGGGGCGACAAAAGCAGCGGGCCGTGACGCTGACCACCCGCCCCCTCGTTTGCCACAGTTGCGGCCATCTTGGGCACTGCTCGCTGAGACTACTTGCCCCAAACAGCCTGTTAAGGCGACACGGGGGATTGTTGTCGTTGGGGTGTCTTTGTCTTTGTGTGTGCATGCGTGCCCTGTTTGTTGTGGTGACTCATTGCCCCCCTTTCGACTACAAGGTAGCGTAAATGTAAGTGAAAATAAAGTTAGTTTCTATTTATGTTAATTTATTTTATGTTTAATTTACTATACAGTACATTTTTCAGTATTAGATGCAAATGTACAACATTCCTTATTTATTATGAGCTTAACAATGCTTCCCTTTTTATTGAACCATAACACATTTTATAACCGTGTCGGCATTTAAATACGGTGCATTATTGTTTTTCGACTTCCAAACCGTTCGACTTACGAACGAGTCTCGAGAACAAATTGCATGTGTAACCTGAGGACCGTCTGTATGGGATACAATTGACTATATGGGATATAACTGCATACAATTGGGTTTATTAGGAATCACATCACGACGGTTTGCTGATTAATCCACCAGGTGGCAGACAGAGCTCGAGTTTGAGTCTGGGTTGGTACTGATCTGAGATTCTCACGCAGGGGATTCTGAAAAACACAAACCCGCATTTCACATTAACATTGACATCCTACAGACCTATACAGATGCCCCACCTCCACACAGTCGCCTTCTATTTACAGCGGAGTGCGACATCAGGGAATTAGCAAATACCTGCACACGGAGAACGGAGAAAAAGACAAAACCACTCTTTACAGGTGTAATGCGGGCGCGGGCGACCTCCCGGATGTGACGTCACGGAGAGGTGGAGTTAGGTGACGTGGGAGCAAGGTTAAGGTTCTTAAGGGATGAGACCGGAAGAGGAGGAGAGAGAGTGAGAGACTGGACAAGAGTAAGGCCACGTTGGGCGAAGCCAGGAAGAGTGGCACCGGCGGCCAGCGGTGGCCAGCTAAGGGAGCAGCCAGAGGAGCTGCGAGAGAAGACAGCAGTGTGGCTGCTGGAGAGAGGGTGGTTGAGGAGCTGCGGTGAACACAGCCGGCGAGGCTGTGTGTGTGAGAGGCTACGAGAGCGACGAGAAGAGAAACAGCAGCGAGTGCAGCCAGTGGGAGCTGCGTGAGGGTGACAGCGGCGAGGCTGCGGGAAGGCTACGAGAACAACGGGAGACAACAGAGGAGCTGTTGGCGTGACGGGGTTAACAGCAGTATCAGTATCAGTGCGGAAGGCTTATAGAAGGACAGCCGTGTGGGTTGCGAGGAAGAACCGAATAAAGGACACCAAGCCAGACTTCGTGGTCGAGTCCTTTATTACATTGGTGTCGGAAGTGCAACGGCATGTCGAAACAAGTGAGAAAGAAAAATATTCCAGCGCCAGCATCGGCTTCTTCGTCCGAAGACGACGACTTCCCTCCAAACATGGATCCTGCCGGGGTGGTGGAGGAGAGCCCTGCTGAAACGAGTGCGGGGACTGGGGTTGAAGATGTAGCCGCAGTGTCGGGGCCGCCGACAACATCAGACGCTGATCCGCGATGGCTGCAGATGGCGGAGCAACTGGAGACTCTCAAGGACGTCCTGGGCCAATTGTGTCATCTCGTCACCCCGAGGACGGCGACGGAGAGGGCGGAGAGTGCTCCACAGGCCGCCACGGTATCTTCGCTCCCAGCGCCATTGGCCACGCGGCAGGAGGCCGCCATCTTGCGCGTTCCGCGGCGGGAAACCGCCATCTTGACCACGCCGCGGTTCGACGCCATTTTGAATTTTCCACCAGAGGAGCCATCGGCGGAGGGCGGAGTAAAGAGAAGTCGGAGTCGCCATCTCACCACGGTCAAAGAATTCGCCATTGGGGGCGACTGGAGCGCTTTCGCCTGCAGATTTTTGGTGGCGGTCCGTTCTGCGAGATGGACCGATGCTGAGGCCTTAGAAGTGTTGCCGACTCTTCTGGACGATGAATCTGTTCGATTTTTTCGTTCCATTAAGGCCGAAAAGAAGAAGACATTATATGGAGTTTTTCAAGAAATGGCCGACGCCTACGAGCCACCTGACAACGCGCATCGGCGATTTGCTCAACGACAACGAGCGCCCGAGGAATCGCCCGTAGCATACAGGGGTGCGGTGCTTGATTTGGCAATGGCCGCGTATCCAGAAACAACACCTGACCTGCTCGAGCCTCTCATCTTGGGCAAGATGCTCGAGCTGTCGCGGGATCTTGGGATTCCCATGCCGGTGTGTGGGCATGAGAAGCTCACTTCCCGGGCGGCGGCAAAATGTCTGGATGCACAATTCAACCTCCGACGGTGGAAACAAGTCGCGGCGTGGACAGGGGGGCCCGTCGCAGAGGGTGGCGCTCTGGGTTGGGACCCTACGAAGTCGGTATACGTGCCGGATGGGGGGGGCCCTCAGGAGCTGACGGCCGCCTCTGGGCCATGGTCAGGCCGCGGTGGGCCGGCCTCTCGCGCTGCACCACCGGTACGGGGCCGGCGGGATGCAAGGCCTGCACTTCGGTGCAACGACGCCGATTGTTTCCGCTGCGGACGGAGGGGCCACTACGCGAAGGACTGCTGGGCCCGCATCCCGGGTCCGCCGCAACAGGAGGCCTCATCAACGGCCAAGCTGACCAAGGAACCACCGAACCAGGCAAGTCGGCACGCACCAGACACCCGGCAAGGCTTTACACCTCACCCATCACCTTCGTTGTGCAATCCTAGGGTTGTTGTTAAGGAGAGACCTTCGACGGGGCCTTGTCGCTCTGTGACGCAGTGGCGCAAATTGGCACGGAGGGTTGTCGCAGCCGCTACGGGTTCGTCCACCGTGCCGGGATCTATACAAGGGGTGGACGTGCGCATTTTGGTCGATTCCGGAGCGTCCGCGACTATAATATCGGATGTCATTTTTCATCTGTTGGGCATCTCACCCGGGGCCGTGCGTCCGGTTTACGGGTCGTGCGTCGCTGCGAACGGGGGTAGTATGGGGATCGTGGGCCAGGTGGACGCTAAAATATCTATCGGGGATGTGTCGGCCTCGGGCGTTGTGTTGATTTCAAGATCCTTGGCAGTTCCTTGTTTATTGGGCACTGATTTCCTGGCTAAGATGCCTATTTTGATTAAAATTAATGAGAATTGTATTGAACTGCCGGGTGGCCGTCAAATTTCGTTTCTGCCGTCGCCCTGGGGGCGACCTGCTTCGGCCGTACAAGTGCAGGCGCTATCCGTGACATCTGTTGACATCCCACCTGGCTCACAGATGCTTATTCCCTTGCGGTATCGGAAGCCCCTGCCTAGTCAGCTAGGAGCGGTTGGGGTCTTGTTGTCACCTTCAGCCTCGATAACGGCCGGGTTGGCGCTGGTTGGGGCACAGACCATCGTCCGGCCAGATCAATTGCCGTTTTTGCAGGTGCTCAACGCGGGTACTGAAAATGTTCGCGTCCCGGCTGGCACGGTGGTGGCACATGCCACTACGGCATTTACGGCTCACGATTGTTCGCGAAGCCAGGAAGTGGTTGCTGGTGTTTCAGAGCCTGTGGCTTCGGATGATCGCTGGATTGCTAGCTTATGTGACGGAAATTCTTCCCTGTCTGTGGATCAACGGGGTGCGCTTCACAAATTATTACTGACGTTTTCGGATGTGTTCAGCTCCAATGATTTGGATTTGGGACGCACCTCGTTGCTTCACCATCATATTGATACAGGCGACGCTGCCCCTATTCGGTTGAATTCGCACCGAATGAGTCCCGCCGAGCGAGAACACGTTCGGGGGGCAGTGGAAGACATGTTGGCTGCGGATATTATATCGCCATCAAACAGCCCATGGGGCGCGCCTGTGGTTTTGGTTAAGAAAAAGGATGGCAAATTGCGATTCTGTGTTGACTTTTGAAAATTGAATAAGATATCGGTGGCAGATGCGTATCCCCTGCCGCGTATGGACGACTCCCTCGACGCATTGTCGGGGGCTAAGTTCTTCTCTACACTGGACCTCTCTTCGGGATTTTGGCAGCTTCCCCTTGACGAGCCCTCACGGGAGAAGACCGCATTCCGTACGCCGCAGGGATTATTTCAATTTAACTGCCTTCTGATGGGGCTGAATGCGGCCCCTGCCAAAGGCTCATGGAGCTCGTTTTGACGGGGTTGCAGTGGGAGACATGTCTCATATATTTGGACGATATTATTGTCTTCAGCCGCACATTTGATGAACATTTAAGGCGGTTGGAGACGGTGTTCGCGAGGATGCGCTCCGCGAACCTGAAATTCAAACCAAAGAAATGTCACCTACTGCAACGGTCCGTCCGTTATTTGGGGCACATCGTGAGCGCTGAGAGGGTGTCTACGGACCCGGAAAAAACGGCGTGCATCCGAGATTGGCCAACTCCGGCCACCGTGGGGGATGTACGTCGCTTTCTGGGATTTGCCTCGTATTATCGAAGATTTGTACCGAATTTTGCGACCATCGCGAGGCCCTTACACCTCCTTACGGGTAAGGGACGTAAGTTTGTGTGGGGACCGCCAGAAGAGGCGGCCTTTCAGAGTCTGCGCAATCTGTTGGCTACGGCCCCAACATTAGATTATCCCGATTTCGATCAACCGTTTATCCTTGATACAGACGCGAGTGACACAGGTATTGGCGCGGTGTTATCTCAGTCTAAAGGGGGCGCAGAGCGCGTCGTTGCGTATGGTAGTCGGGTCTTGTCGCCCGCGGAAACCCGCTACTGTGTCACTCGCAGGGAACTCCTAGCCGTTGTTTTTTTCCTACGTCAGTTTCGACCGTACCTGTACGGCCGTTCCTTTATCGTACGTACGGATCACGCGGCCTTGCAATATGCCCTTAAAATGGACCAACCTTCCGGTCAGCTGTCGCGTTGGTTGGACACGCTACAGGAATTTTCATTTCAAATTCAACATCGCAAAGGGGTGCGCCATGCGAACGCTGACGCACTTTCCAGATTGCCACAGCGCTCCCCTTGCAAATGTGCGTCGGGGACGCATAGATGTACACCCAGCCTATCCCCCCCTCAGCCGCTGGTGTTGGCTGTTGAGGAGCCAGATGCTCCTGTGAAACCGGGCCCGACTGATGGGGTTTTGAATCTGCCGCGGTCTGTCTGGATACGGGAGCAGATGATGGATGATTCGTTAGTGTCCTTGCGCAAGCAATCTAAAGTGGAGATTGGGGGTCCGGTTACGGAGGGTGCGCCGGAAACCGCGATCCGAGATGGTCTGCTCATGTGGAGGGAAGGTCTCCAGGAGCGCTGGCGTCTGGTGGTGCCTGCGTCCCTGCGATACGAGTTGATTATAACTCTCCATTGTGACACGCTGATACATCTGGGTGTGCAGAAGACCTTGTTGACGTTGCAACGTCATTATTTTTGGCATGGCATGGCGACGGATGTCGTGGGGCACGTCCGCGCGTGCCCTGATTGTGCCCGACGTAAGCCACCTAAACATCCTTACGTGCCGCCTTTACAGTCAATTCAGGTGTCGCGGGTTAATGAATTGGTGGCACTGGACATTTTGGGACCCTTCCCACCATCGGCGAGGGGTAATAAATATTTGCTGGTCGGGGTTGAGTACCTCTCCCGTTGGCCGATGGCCTGGCCGTTGCCCGACCAATCGGCCTTGGCTATTACCAACGCCTTTTTGTTCGGATACGTTGTGGACAAGGGTGCGCCGGAGAGACTCCTCACGGACCAGGGCCGGAATTTTTCTTCTAAATTATTGGCGGAAGTATGCGCGGGCCTAGGGACTAAGAAGGTCCGGACATCCCCATACCATCCGCAAACGGATGGTATGGTTGAGCGGCTAAACCGGACATTGTCTGCCATGCTGTGCCATACGGTGAGTGAACAACAATCGGATTGGGACCTGCACATTCCGGGGGTGCTTTCGGCGTACAGGATGACTCCTCATGCGGCTACGGGTTATTCGCCGTTTTACCTTATGTATGGTCGGGAAAACGTGCCGCCGATGGATGTGCAGCTGGGAACCGGTGTTAAGGGACCTTGTAAACCACTCCCTGACTACATTCGGGACACTGTTCGCCGGGTCTCGGAGGCGCGGGAGAGTGCCCGCGTGGCTACGGCCAAAGCCCAGGCCCGGAACGAGAGGTATGCGCGGCGTTCCAAGGGGGAATGCCCCTGGAAGGTTGGGGACCTGGCCTGGCTCCATTGTCCGCAGGTGCGGCCGGGTACCTCTCCCAAATTTCACAAACCTTGGCAAGGGCCTGTCCGCCTCATTGAGGTTCCTAACCCTCAGTCGGCGCGTGTTCAGATTGGTTCTTGCCGCTGGTTTGTTCACACGTCGCGCTTGAAACCGTATGTTGCTCCCCTACATGATGCTTCATCTCCCAATGTTGCCTTGCCGGGGTCTGTTGCTGCCGACTCTCCCCCGCCTGCGTCCATTGATCTTGCTAGAGCGCCTGTCATACCTGTTCCAGGCAGGCCGGCCTTGACACCAGAGGGGACGAGGCGCCCTGCTCGGAGGGTGCCTGCCAGATCTGCGGAAACTTCGAGCCCTGCAGCCCTTCCGACCCCGCTGCAGACACATCCGCGGGACACGCCCGAGACTGATCCTTCAGGGACACGGGACGTTGGTGGACTTCCAACAGCGACAGGGGGATTTCACCCTGTCACTCCTCAAACTCCATCACGTTCCCGTTCCGCGGATGGGCCGCCGACCGTCCGGGACGGGCCGGCGACCCGCACACGTTCTAAATCCCTTGTGTTTCGTTGATTGTTACGTTGCGTTATTGCTCTTACTGTGTATTTATTGCCTGCTTCTGCTACGTTACTTGATTATTGAGTTGTGTTGATTGTTCTTACTGTTATATTGCATGCTTGGTGTCCTTTGGTGTGTTAGGGTCGGTTTCGCCCGCATTACTGTTGGTGTTGTTCAGCCGATATCGGCTGGGTTTTTCTCCATGGGGGAGGGTGGTGTAATGCGGGCGCGGGCGACCTCCCGGATGTGACGTCACGGAGAGGTGGAGTTAGGTGACGTGGGAGCAAGGTTAAGGTTCTTAAGGGATGAGACCGGAAGAGGAGGAGAGAGAGTGAGAGACTGGACAAGAGTAAGGCCACGTTGGGCGAAGCCAGGAAGAGTGGCACCGGCGGCCAGCGGTGGCCAGCTAAGGGAGCAGCCAGAGGAGCTGCGAGAGAAGACAGCAGTGTGGCTGCTGGAGAGAGGGTGGTTGAGGAGCTGCGGTGAACACAGCCGGCGAGGCTGTGTGTGTGAGAGGCTACGAGAGCGACGAGAAGAGAAACAGCAGCGAGTGCAGCCAGTGGGAGCTGCGTGAGGGTGACAGCGGCGAGGCTGCGGGAAGGCTACGAGAACAACGGGAGACAACAGAGGAGCTGTTGGCGTGACGGGGTTAACAGCAGTATCAGTATCAGTGCGGAAGGCTTATAGAAGGACAGCCGTGTGGGTTGCGAGGAAGAACCGAATAAAGGACACCAAGCCAGACTTCGTGGTCGAGTCCTTTATTACACAGGTTTAGTCCAGCACCTACATGAGTGGTTTAATAACAATTTTTGTTCTCACTACAACAATTAATGTGTTGCACTCTGAATAAAGTGAACTTTGAAAATTTTTTAGCAGGTAAATTCCACTGAGCAATGTCGCTCTTTTTCAGAAGCAACCTGGCTATCACAAATGACAGCTCAACTCCGTGGCTTATCGCGTGGGAATTTATAGTAGCTGCCTGATACTCAGAATTTGTGATGTTGATTATTAATGTGTAAGAAAAAATCAGAGGACCCGGAGAAAAATCTACGGGACAATGGAGAGAGAGAGAGAAAAACGCAAACTCTAAATTTACAGCAGGCATCGTCAGGGTCAGGGTCAAACCCACAACCTCCTGCATACCAGGCGAGGTAGTTAACATCTCCTAGCCACCACGGCTAGGAGTGGTGCCACCTGCAGGAAGGAGAGCGGGTCCTGCACGGTGAGGGCGGCGAGCAGCTGGTTGATCTCCTGCTCCAGGCCGCGTACTCTGCTCTCATAGCGAGCGATGTCTGCCTGGATGCGGGACAGCACGGAGCGGCCCTCCTCGTCCACGCGCTCCAGCGCCTCCCTCTCCTCCTCCCTCAGCTGCTCCCTCCGGCGCTCAAACTCTCGGCTGATCCGCGCCTTGGTCCCACGCAGAGACTCCTACGCAGAGGTACGATGACACGCTATTGAAACGCAACACAACACAGTGCGATGTGACTTCATAAACGACTTCGATACGGCCACGTCTCATAACTCCGTACAAAGAGGCGAGTGACTTAATTTTTTAGAACGTCGAGTAATGAAATGCATGAAAGGAGATTTAGTGATGATATTTATGGGCACTCTTATGCAAAAGTCTAAGTACCGTATTGTTTGCATGTTTGTCTATATATGCACGTGTCTGTGCGTCTCTCTGTACCTGCACGTCTCTGTGTCTCTCTATTTACCTGCACGTGTCTGTGTGTCTCTCTGTACCTGCACGTGACTGTGTCTCTCTCTCTACCTGCACGTGTCTCTGTGTCTCTCTGTACCTGCACGTGTCTCTGTGTCTCTCTGTACCTGCACGTGTCTGTGTGTCTCTCTGTACCTGCACGTGTCTGTGTCTCTCTGTACCTGCACACGTGTTGTGTCTCTCTGTACCTGCACGTGTCTGTGTCTCTCTGTACCTGCACGTGTCTGTGTGTCTCTATGTACCTGCACGTGTCTGTGTGTCTCTCTGTACCTGCACGTGTTTGTGTGCCTCTCTGTATCTGCATGTGTCTATGTCTCTCTCTGTACCTGCACGTGTCAGTGTGTCTCTCTGTACCTGGACGTGTCTGTGTGTCTCTCTGTACCTGCACGTGTTGGTGTGTCTCTCTGTACCTGCACGCGCTTGTAGGCACCCTTGAGCTGCTGTTTCCGTGATTCTGCCGTAGTCTTCTTCTCCTCTTTCCCCGTCTTCTCGAGTCTGAACGCCTCCTATACACGGGGTAGACAAATACGCGATGTTTGTTACTCCCATCATTATCATCATCAACTGGCCCATGTTTTTAACCCAGAGCCTTGCAGGCCAGTTTTCTGGATCGCCCAGCGATAATCATCGCCTTTTGAATCTTCCAACCTCCCACATTGTGCTGTGGACTTCAGGAGGCAGCACAACATCTGTGTCAGAGGTAGGTGGCTGGATCACAGCGTGGTGTATTGAGGAATCCCCACTTACACGCTCGTGTTTTCTCCAGTTTTTCCTAACAATGCAATCTCGCGGAACCGACAACCATAACCCCCCGATATATCTACAGCACACACTTTGCGTGACAGTGCGGTAAACACCAAACTTAAATCTGAAACATTACAGGAAACCAAGCTGAGTGCCAGAGCGGTATTAGGAGTACAGACAGCTCTGGTGCTGATGGGGCTGCTGCTTGGGTGTGTTGGGACAAGTTGGACAGGACTCAGAAGAGGGAGAGCCATGTGGCCAGGTTCGCAGCATGCGAACCACTACACCACCGCTCCCCAATATAGGAACTGCACACTCATAACACAGTTTAAACATTTCTAGACTATTTCTAAAAGTAAATATATGCAGATTAAGTTAAACAATTAAGCTTTGGCGACCAATACTATTCATAAAAAAGTTTTTTTTGGTTAGAGCGTGTAAATCCAAATGCGTGGTTCAACCCGCCACCACCCGACTCAGTCAATTAGGAAGGTTTGTCACCTAAACAAAACGTGCCAATTAGTCACTAGCTCAGCACCACCGGTGTGTTGAAAAGTAAACCCACAACATTTACAACTTCGAGTACCGTGACGTTTTGCTTCACTACTAATTACAACCAGCCTCATCAGGCGACAGCCAGAATTGAATACGCAGAGTAACATTGTTAGTAGCAGCAAACACAATAATGTAAATCTTTATTTTAAGCTTTCGTGACTGCAGGAATTATTTTCTGGTTCTTTCAGTAAAGTCACGTACAAAGAAAATAAATTAAATATTAGAATACGACGTTTCGATTGCAACACAAGCAATCATCATCAGGTCGCTAAATTTGAGAGAGACAAACATAGACACGGGAACACACAGACACACAAGTGTTGTCTCTTTCTGCTTCTGTGCCTGTGTGTCCCCGTGTCTGTGTTTGTCTCTCTCTCAAATTTAGCGACCTGATGACGACTGATTGTGTTGCAATCTAAACGTCGTATTCTATAATTTAATTTATTTTCTTTCTACGTGACTTTACCGAAAGAACCACAGAGTAATAATATCAATATTAACACTATCATATTAACACTATAACGATAACAGGAATATTACCAGCAGCAACAACGACAACAGAAACAACAACCGCATCCATAATCATGATGATAATGATTGACTTGAATATCCTTCATTGGGATGTTTGACTTAAGCTCTCCCCATTTGATTGCCCCTGGCAGGGCTTGACACTAGCAGGATGAAGCGCTGTGAACGTGAAGCTCTGACCACGTCAAGTCCCACCCAGTCTGCTGGCTGTGCCCTTAGACCCGCACTCTGTTGCCCCATTTCACCTGCCAATAAAAGCGTGGCAGGCTAAACGCTCTGGTAGTTGGTCAAGCTGCACCGTAGCAGCGCTGAATCACAATCCACTGTTCTGTCACGGATTGCAAATACACAGCGTCTATGTTAGAGGCCGGGTGGCATTTTAGACACCAAACATTGCAACAGAATCAAATCTAAATCTGCCCTATGGACAATCAAACTCTGCCTGACGGCCTGACTCTCCCAATGGAATGGCTTCTGATTTGCCTCTTTAAAGTTCATGGACAGTGCACTTTTGAACCGTCTCACATTTGAAGTATCTCGCGTTAGTCGACATTTCTCTCCACCCATCATTGCTACTCAAAAGTACGAATCTTATCGCGTGAAGTGTATTTTACATCTGTGCCAGCCATGTCACAAAGTGCTTGGTCTTCTAACTAAAACATGGAACACCCTGCTTTGCTATCCATTAAAATCAACATTGCCATCATCCGTGTCTCTGCTGTCTATCGTGTGCCAGTTTTTCAATCCGCATTGCCCAAAGTGATTTGATTTACTGTCACAATGCTAGCACAATAGGAGTTACCTAATAATATGCAAATATAAATGATAAAATACAGACTCTCTATCTGAACAACACACACAAAGAATGCTGCAGTCACACTGAGGGATATTGGATTACAGCAGTGATTTATATCTCACCTGTTTTGTCTGTTGTGCATTTTCCACTGGAATGACCTCATGCCCTCTATGTTCCCCAGCGATGGTGCAGACTGTACAGACCAGGCTCTCATCTTGTTCACAGTAGAACTTGATCTGCTCCTGTCTGTGCTGCCGGCACCGTCGTCCCTCCAGGTTCGCGATGGGAGCCACTAGGACGTGGTCACTCAGCCTGAGATTCTCCAAGTGAGGCCTCGCGTGCCTCGCACAGTAGGACATCTCGCATTTCACGCAGGTCCTCACTGCAGGAGTCTGGCCGTCAGTGCAGATGTCACACACGACGGCCGCGGCCATCCCGTCTCCAACTCTGAGCTGCTCTGCCAGGTTGGCGAGGGCCACGTTCTTCCTCAGCTGGGGTCGCACAGGGAAGGTCGCTTGGCACTGCGGGCAGCTGAAGCTGCTCGCCGTCTCCCAGGCGGCCTCCAGGCACCGCAGGCAGAACGAGTGCCCGCAGCTCAGTGTGGAGGGGCAGACGAACTTGCCCAGGCAGATAGAGCAGCACAACTCACTATCCACACTCTCACTGGGAGTCGCGCTCGCCATGGCCCATGACTTCACTGGGATTGCTCGCTGTGTGGCTCAGAGAGACGCTGGACCAGGATCTCTCTCTTATAGCGACGGTGGAGAAGGAAGTAAAATACTTAAAATATTTTCATTGTCGTCATTGACTTCACAAGACACTGCCTGGAATGTGAACCCACGCTCCGAGGTGCGCAAACAGCAGCCTCAAGGTGAACACGGCTATTGTACACACGTTGACATTTAAAAAATTTGTCCTGTTGTTAATATTAATCGGTGAGGCTCAGCTGCGGTGCTCATTCGTAAGATCAGTGTGGAGAGATAAACTGATCCTTCTACAGCAAGTTGGTGACAAGATGTATTCTCCCTCGCCCGGTGTACAAGAGATGGTGGGGTTTGATCCCGACCCTGACGCCTGCTTTATATTTAAAGTTTGTGTCTCTCTCTCTTCGTGGTCGCGTGAATTTTTCTTCGGGCCCTCCGGTTGTTCCCTCCACATTTACAATCAACATCACGCGTTTAGAGTAGTTGGCCAACTACATTTCACGGTGATAAGCCATCATTTGTGGCCAAGTCGCTTCAGAAAATAGCCACATTGCTCAGTGAGCTTTACCTGGTAAAATAAATAAATAGTTGCATAGTTTTAGATATCTCATGATGTCCCGTAATTTCACCTCCGTGTAATTACCCCAACGTGACGAGTTGCTTGAATGTCATTGTAGCATCTGAGATGGAATTTTTATGTTGACTCCCGTGACCCATCCTGGAATCTTGAGCCTTTTGCTAGCAGTGTGAATCTATCACCAACTCTACCTGCCTCCATCACCCACTGCTGGCGATGTCACCGTCTCTCAGTCTCACCTTGTCTGGGACTGCAGATCCGCGTGCCGGCCATTCACAGCCGCACCCACCGCTTACTTCACCTGCGTTGTTGTTTCACATTCACACGCACGGCTACTCAACACGCCTGCACACGCAGCAACACAGATGGGAATCGGAGTTCCCCATGATTGTAAAATAAAATAAAACTATTTTTTATGTTACCAGGTGTAATGCCCCACTGAGCTATTAGCTTATTTTTCAGAAGCGACCTGCCCATCACAAATGACAGCTCAACAAAGTGGCTCATCATGTTGGAAATGTATAGAAGCTAAATAATATAAATACTGTACTATAAACGCTTGCTTGAACCCAAAGACGGTCTCTTGGGCTTTGCTGGTAGGTTCACAGCAGAAAACGAATGCCATAGACTCTGCACCCCAGTCGGACTCGTGGGGAAACCCGACCTGGATTACACTGAACACGGCCTGGACTCATCCACTGCGAGTGAATGGGGTTCCCACAATGTATCATGGCTCAGCACCCGTCGGGTGCCAAGCAGCCCACACCCGGCGACGCATTCAGTTACACTCACACACTCACTCACACACTCACTCGTACACTCACAACAAACGCCATTCGCCACTAAGTGGCGGTGACGTCACCACAACGCTTGTGCCAAGCCATGTGCACCTTGAGGCCACGTGAAGTGTCGAACGCCCGCTGGCAGGTCACGGGGCAGACCCAGGTGCCACGGGTCGACTGACTGAGATGACCGTGACGAGTGGCTGATGCACCACCTGTGCCTCCTACTGTGCCAACTTGCTGTGCTTTAGCCACCCGGCGCTCTGCTCGTTGTTGTGAGCGTCGCTCCTCCACCCCCCGTTGTTGTTGGAGGGCGACTGCCTCCAACTGCCCATTAGCATCCTTCACGAGCCTCCTCCGAAAGCATGAAAAACAACCCATAGCCCAGGCCTTCCTATTGATATCATAGGCCAGGTCAATAAAGCAGAGATGTAGGTGTTGTTGGAACTCCCTACACCTCTGCTGTAGCAGACGGACAGAAAATATGGCATCTGTGCAGGACCGTCCCTTCCTGAAACTGCATTGGGGCTCCGCAAGCCTCTCATCAGCGTGCATAGCAAGGCGATGTTGAATAATCCTTGCCAGGACCTTTCCCGGCACACTGAAGAGTGAGATGCCCCTGTAATTGTTACAGTTTGTGCGGTCCTCCTTCTTAAAGAGACTGTTGTTATGATGTAGGGCAGTCTGTGTACAAATGCCACCCTCCCTCAGCACTTCGCTTGGGAGATCATCTCTGCCCGGTGCCTTTCCTGGTCTCAGACTCTGGATCACCTTCAGTACTTCCTCAACAGATGGCACCTCAGCCAGCCACTGACAGGGGGTGACTTCCTCTTCCAATATTTGAGGCACCACAGCCTCAGGAGGGTCATCCCCACTTTGTCCCAAGTTGTTTTCCTGGCTGAGGGATTTTCCTTCCCCCAAGACCGCACAAAAATGCTTAGCAAATCTGCAAACCTGTTCCTGGGGGTCGGAGATTGGATCACCGTTCTTTCCCCTGATGATAGTAATAGGTATGGTGCTGCAGGTTGCTTTTTTGACGGAGTTAAAAAGCGATTTATGATCGCGTGTCACTGAGGCAGACTCCATCTCGTCAACAACCCGCGACCACCACCTATCCATGCAGCGCCTCACGGCTATCTGAACATCTGAGCGAAGGCTGCGGTAAGCCTCCTCATTTTCCGATGTGGGATGCTGTAGACGATTAGAGTGGGCCTGTCGCTTTTTCTCAACCATCCTGAACACCTCCTCTGTCAGCCAGGGTCTCTGGGGAGGTCTGTACCGCGTACCCAAAGCAGCTATTGCAACTGCATGAGCCACAGTCCTAAACCTCACCCATTTCCCCTCGACATCAGGAGAAGTGGAGGACGATGCCAACCCCAGCTGCAAGTGATGATGAAATTCTCGCTTGCAACTTTCATCAGCTAACTGAGACCAGGCCACTTTAGGTTGGAATGGGGTCCTGGGTGTACACCCACCACCGGAGTGGAATAATGGCAGGCGCTTCTTACAGATGACAAGTCGATGATCAGTGGACAGATCAACTTCACGGTAGGTCCTGGTGTCAAGGACATGGGCCCGCATCCGCTGTTCTATCACTATGTAGTCCAGCAGATGTTCTTGCTTGGACCCGGCATGCATCCATGATGTTGTGTGGATGCGACGATGCCGGAACAGCGTGTTGGTGATTACAAGCCCATGGGCTGCACAATAATATAGCAGCCTCCTGCCGTTGTTATTGAGCTGATCTGGCCCATGCCTTCCAATCATTCCAGAACAGGTGCCAGCATCATGACCAACTCGGGCAATGAAGTCACCCAACAAGATGACTCTATCCCAATGAGCTACTTTAGCTAGCACCTGTGACAGGAGGTCATAAAAGGCATCTGCCTCATCGGCCTTACCTTCATCCCTCCACGGATGTTCGTCTTCAGTGGGGGCATAAGTAACCACGACCACCACTCCTCGCCTCCGGTTGATAGGAAGGCGAGCCCAAACTAGCCTCGGGCTTACAGCTTCCAACGCCTCACCGCCACGCTCCCACGCCCCCTTCATTCTTTTATTCAGAAGTAGAGCCACACCCTGTTTTTTGGCAGTCTCCTGCCCCAAGTAGAGGACTGTCCACCCCTCATGGTGGCAGGAGCCAGAGCCGGTTCACTGGACCTCCTGAATACCACAGAGATCCAGGCGGTACAGGTGCAGCTCCCGACAGGGGATTGGCAGCCTCTCCTCCGCAGTGAGCGTTCGAACATTCTATGTGGCCACACGTAGTAATTTTCTCTTATTTCTGGAGGAGCCCCGATGATAAAGGTTCAGTCTCCTGGCTCTGCCAAATGGGGTTTGGCCAGGAGACGTCATAGATGCCTGTCCCCCCGGGGCCTCCGGCACAAGCTTATTTATTAATCATATTTTGGACGTGGTTTAGTGGTAATTAATTGAAGGTGGGGGGGTTACCAGCCCCTCGCACCCGTCCAGAGCCCCCATTTAGCCGCTGTGGTGGTTACAAATGCCATGAGGGGAAAGGCCAATGAGAATTGCCCCCCCCCCCCCACGGCACTGCCCACGGCAGCGTTGCCCATCCGGAACCACAAGGAGGTAGGGGGTTGTTTTTCCAGACCCACATAAACACACACACACATAAACACACACACAATCACACACACACATAAGCACTAACACATAATCACACACACAAACACAAAATCATTAACACATAATCACACACACAAACACATAATCACTAACACATAATCACACACACAAACACATAATCACTAACACATAATCACCTAAAAATACCCCTCGACAACGAGAGAGTCAATAATAATTGCACTATGTAATAATCACACACAAACAATCACTAACATATTATCATACACACACACATTATCACACCCAAAATCACACATGCATACCCCTAGACAACACGTAATCACGTACACACACATTAATCATAAAAACATAACACTCGTTCTTAATTACGCTTATCACGCATTTTAGCTAATAAACAATTAATTGCATACGTTAACATATTTAATGTAAACGTTTTTTTAAATTATTTTATCAATATAAAAATAAAATCACAATACATTCAACAGGGGTCGTCCAGACATCTGGACCAGACATCTGTACAAGGCACGCAATGGGATGGCCCCCACAACATTGAAGCAGTGATTATTTACCTTTACTGTAGCCTTGCACCCCTTGGGTTCTCAAACGTACAAATGTTTAATAATGTTAATACATACTTGGGGGGTTTGATAAACAGAAGAGTTGTACTTACGTGCCTGTGCTTAATTTGTGTTTCGATGATTTACCTTCCAAAGAAGTCTGGCCACTAATTCTAGATTTGAAGCTTTCGTGACTGCAAGGATTCATATTTGGCCATAGTTTAGAGCTTTTGGCCATAGTTTATTTTGTTCAGTTGTATAGACCATATTTGTATGGTAGGCTGTTTACGGTCCGAACCGACCACGCGGCCCTGCAATATTCGCTGAAGATTAGTCAGCCCTCGGGTCAGCTGTCTCGCTGGCTCGAAGTGCTCCAGGATTACCCCTTTGATGTAATCCACAAGAAGGGGACACAGCATGGAAATGCGGACGGTTTATCCCGATTGCCGGCAGGCGGCGGGTGTGCTTGCGCCCTAGGCTCTAGCCGTTGCAAGGCCCCAGGGGACGCC